ACCGGCCTGGGGTCAGTAGAGAAAAGGCATCATAAACAAATCAGGGCCCAGGCAGTGGGGACCGAGGGTTTCCAGGAGGTGACCTAGAAAGCTTTGCAGAAAGATCCACCTGGGTCCAAGCCTCAGCTTGACCACTGCCCACGTGCGTGACCTCAACAACCTATTGCTTGGTCTCACCTCCCTCACTGTAAAATGGACACAATAACACATGCATCACCAGACGGAAAGGAGATAATGAGCTGAAATGTTTAGCCTTGCTCTATATAAAACTCTTTTGGGGAAGACAAATTCCACTGGAATACTTAAAGTAAACATACAATTCACAGAAATAAACAAGTGGGATACATCAAACTAAAGAGCCTTCTTCATAGTAAAGGAAACCATCAACAAAATGAAAAGGCAGCTCATGGAATGGGAGAAAACAATTGCAAATCTGATAAGGGGTTAATGTTCAAAATACACAAAGAACTCACACAACTCAATGGCAAAAAACCCAAACAATCCTCTTAAAAAAATGGGCAGAGAAACTGAATGGACATTTTTCCAAAGACATACAGATGGCCAGCAAGTACATGAAAAGGTGCTCAACATCACTCATTTTCAGGAAAATGCAAATCAAAACTAAAATGATTCACACCTGTTAGAATGGCCATCATCAAATACATAAATAAGTGTTGGCCAGGATGTGGAGAAAAGGGAACCTTCATACACTGTTGGTGGGAATGTAAATTGGTGCAGCCAATAGGGAAAACAGTATGGAGGTTCCTCAAAATTGCAAAAATAAAACTACCATATGAACCAGCAGCCCCACTTTTGAATATTTACCCAAAGGAAATGAAAATAGGCTATCGAAGAGACACATGCACTCCATGTTCACTGCAGCATTATTTACAACAGCCATGGTATAGAAACACCTTAGTGTCTGTCGACAGATGAACGGGTAAAAAATATGCGGTGTATGTGTACAATGGAGTATTATTCAACCATGAGAAAGAAGGAAATCTTGCCATTAGCAACAACACAGTTGGACCTTGAAGGCATTATGCTAAGTGAGGTGAGTGGGACAGAGAAAGACAAATACTACATGGTATCACTTAAGTCAAACTCATAGAAACAGGGAGTAGAAGAGTGGTTGGGGCACCTGGGTGGCTCAGTCGGTTGAGTGTCTGACTCTTGGTTTCGGCTCAGGTCATGATCTCATGGGTCGTGACATGGAGCCCCGTGTCAGGCTCCATGCTCAGCGGGGAGTCTGCTTGGAGATCCTCGCCCTCTGCCCCCCTTCCCCCCACTCACGCTCTCTCTCTTTCTCTCTAAAATAAATAAATCAATCCTGGGAAAAAAGAAAAGTGGTTGCCAGGAGCTGGAGTGGAGGGGGACGCGGATAGGGACAGGCTGGTAAAAGAACACAAACTTTCAGCTTACAAGATGAACAAGGTCTGGAGATCTAATGTAAAATATGATAACTATAGTTGATAATGCTATATTATGTAACTAAAATTTGCTGAAAGCTTTGCAGAAAGTAGAACTTAAATGTTCCCACCAAATAAATAAATAAATAGGTGAGGTAATAGATGTGTTAATTATTATGGGGGGCACACTTTCATAGTGTATATTTATGGTCAAATCACCACGATGTACACTTAAATATCTTACAATCTTATTTGTCAATTATACCTCAATAAACTGAAAAAAGATACACAATTCACTTTTTATTTTTTATTTTCCCTCTCTCTTTCTCTCTGGGACATCACCCTGAAATATAAAAGTTTCTGGGGCAGAATTTGAACTTGTGAGTAGCTGACTTAACTTTCTGTAAGGGATTTGCATGCAATGCTTTTGCTGAGAGCTGCCCAACAACATGACAATCTCTCCCACTGCACTGAAAAACCAAAATTAATGACCCAATAAGCAAATGAAGACTATTTTGGAAAATATGCTGGATAACATGAGAAAAGTAGGGGAGGTGCCTTCCCAAGTCTCTTAGAAGAGAGTCCCAAGCACCCATCCATCAGTCACAAAATGTGTTAGCATGTCGAGCCTGGAGAATTTTTCTTCTTCTTTAAAATTACAGGTGATATTTTATCTCTGGTGGAGGGAGGGAGACCACCTCATAGGCAAGGGAAAATCAGCAACTAAGCAGAACATGCATAAGTTTCAAAAATTAGTCACCGGTTACCATGGTGATGCAAATATTACCTAACAACTCACTGGGCTGAAAGTTACCAAGATGATACTAAATACATTACTTCAAAATGGAAAATGGGCTCTATTTATAGGAGCACTTGCAAGGAACTAGGTGGACCTAACAGCAGACTGGAGGCAGCCCAGTTTGCTCCCAGGATCCGAGGTCCCTCTCCTGCCCCGTGCATATCAAGTCAAGTTCTGTGTCACATGCACACACAGCTGTGCCCAGGAACAGCTGCGGAGGGAAGAGTGATGACATTTTATTTACAAACAAAGGGCAATGAGTGGGAAGATGAGTCTTCTCACTCCCTAAACTCTTAATAGAAGAATAATCTCTGCTACCGCCCACTGAAGATGGCCAGACTGGGTGACAGACTTAGGTGGAGGTCCCTTTCAAATTCAACGTTAACAGTTTCCTCAGGCAATGCAAGACTTTCTAAAAAAATGACTGAGATGCCTGATAAAATAACAATTTTCCCACTGTTCTGCAGAGTTTTAATTTTATGAGTATACATTAATCTTAATTAGAACAGAAGCATAAATATTATTTGAATTTTTCAATTAGCCTAAGAACTGGCGGCACACAAACACACTCCTAAGTCAAACTTAGAGCATAGCTTGTGTTCACGATGCACACTGTCTAGTACACAGCGTACCAGTACCAAAAAGCAGCCCCAGACCTGTATATCTCCAAGTGGTCCCGGGGTTTCCACATTAGAATTCCAGGGAGGCTCTAAAACAATGCAAAGTCCTAGGCCATTCCCAAGGCCAGCTCCATCGGAGTCTCTGGAGGTGGGATCTGAAAACGTACATTTCTGAAAGCTTCTCCCTTCAGTCTCATCGTAGTAATCTCCAGTAAACTGAGGTCCCCTGATAATGAAGACAGAAGACAGGACAACCCCCGGGGACACAAGCCAATACAGGTGAATCCAAGGCAGGGATACTTGTGATTCCATGACTTTTGGCTGTGGTTTTACCACAAACCAGGGGAAAAATCCAGCACAATATACATGTATTGTGTATATGTGTGTACAATACAAGGATTTACAAACAACACAGGTGATGTGCTGTGACCTATCCTATTATATTCTCATTTTTAATGCTATTGCAGCCAACAAAATTGATATCACCACCCACTAATTGGTGATACTTGAAAAACCCTATATAACTTCTATTCTATCCAAGCTTTTCCGATACATCCCCAAAAGTTGCAATATTTGAGTTATCTCTAAAAGGCGAACCAAGTTGAAACAAGGCAGAATTCTGCTGAAAGATAGCCACAGCAATACATTTAACTGTGAACATTTAACTTATTTATTTATATCCTCTTTATGTCACAAAGAACAGCATGCAGAGCATATAAATGCAGTATAGAATAAATGGAAAATATTGAGAAAATGAAGCTAAGGGAAAATAAAGACAGGAAACTAAGTGTTTGTGGAATGAATCAAAGAACAAGCAAAATTAAATACAACACAGGCCAGGAAATCTAGTCTACTTGTTTACTCTCAACTTTCTGTCAGTTAGTATGAAGAGGAAAACCTGATCAGTTATGAAAATTCCAGGGTCCATCTGGGAAGAACAAAGCCATTTCTAAGAAGCGTTTCCAGGCCTCTGACTATACTCCCTCTGGGCTGGACTGAGTAACACCCCTTCACACTCACACACACACTCACACACACACACACACTCTGGGGAGAGCAAGCCCTCACAGAGCAACAGAACCCTTGTTACTGCCTCACCTTGCACCACCACTTGATTCACGGGTAAACTCACAGTCACTCCAGGGACTGCTTATTCGGAGGAACAAAGCCTGGAGCCTGAGGTCACCCAGTGCCCCCTCCTCCAGGAGCACTTTGTATTCACTTCTGTCCCAGCGCTGACCACCTTGTTGTAATGAAAACTGTTCACAGGGCTGACCCTTCCCTCCCCACCAAGCCCACAAGGTTATGAATAACATATGTCCTTCCACAAGGACAATATTGGCTCTATGTATTTCAGTGAATTCTCCATAAAACTGAGCTAAATGCTAAGCTCTTCTAGAAATTCCCAAAAGGCAAAGTGACAGAAGCACCAAGTCTGGACTTCTTTTTTTGATTCTATCATTTACTAACCCTGAGATATTGGCCAAGCCATCGGACTTCTATGATTCAGTTTCTTATCTGTTAACCAAAGCCAGTAATTTGTATAACACGGGTTAGTCTTGAGGAAGAAATCCACAAATGGGCCTGGCCCATATTAGCTTTCCCTTCTCCTATCAATATCTCCCTAAGATATTGCTTTTACTTGCTGTGCAGTCTTCACCACTCCCTTCCTCCCTCCAAGCTTCCTAAAGAACAAAAAAATAAAAAACTAAAAAAAAAAATCACCCAAGAAGAAAGCAAGTACCCAGGAGCCACAGAACACTCCGTGTCTACACAATGCCACCTTTGGAAGGTTCTTGTCACTGTTTCAACTACTTTAAACAGGACTTAGAGATCGTTCTTCAAAAAAAAAGAAGTCTGAGAAAGAAGTCATTAAACGTCAAATGAATGCTTTAACCAAGGAATAAGAAAGAAAAATAATTAGTAAATTCACTGTCAGGAGGCAAGGGTAGTTGCTAAAACGGGATGCAGAAACATGTCTGGTCTTCACTCTGCAATGGGCTGAATATTGCCTTAATACTAAGGTAGCGGTTGTTTGCGAGGTATACTCCATTTTCATGGGCCGTAGAGACTTAAAATTTAGACCACCGTGTCTCGTCTAGTCCTGAACAGAGGAAATATCAGTCATGTTTTCATTTTTTCAGATACGAGTGTCCCAGATGGTTGACCTACCTTTTCGGTGATATAGAAGTTAGAGCTATCAGCATGCTGCAGTGCAAAGTACTCATGGTTGGCAAGGGACCACCTTAAAAACACAAGCAAAACTGATCAGAAAAACAAACGATGGTAATTTTCATTTCTACAGCGTGACACAGTTAGATGAATGAAGCACCCTGCACTCGGAAGGGGGCCCACACCCAACATACCCCACAACGCAGCTCCTAAAACAAAAGGACACTAGCCTGACCAACCATTTCCTATGTGGATCATCTTGGTCTTCTTGGTCTTATTCCACGCCTAGTGCCTGGAATATTTCATCTTCATGGCTTTGAGCAGGGGTATTTAAATACGAAGTTATATTCTTCCCCATTTTGAAGGAGTGGAGCAGAAAGTAGGAAACAAAAGAAATGGATGCAATTTAAATTTTTGATAATTGTTTCATTCCCATTGCCTCTGTGTTCTACAATCCCCCAATCAGTGTGCTTGCTGCAGATGGAAACATTCCCATTTAGGTCCCCCGGGCTTTTTTTTTTTTTTTTAAAGATTTTTTATTTATTTATTTGAGACAGAATGAGAGAGAGAGAGAGAGCACATGAGAGGGGGGAGGGTCAGAGGGAGAAGCAGGCTCCCCGCCGAGCAGGGAGCCCGATGCAGGACTCGATCCCGGGACTCCAGGATCATGACCTGAGCCGAAGGCAGTCGCCCAACCGACTGAGCCACCCAGGCGCCCAGTACCCCAGGTCTTAAGTAAATTCCAAGTAAGACTCGCTGCATAACCTCATGCAACTTCTCTAAGTGCTTCTCCTTTGGATTGTTAGGACAGCCAAGGACAAGGAGGGAAGCTCTAACACTGGGAAGTTCCTGCAGCTGCCAAATTACACACAGGCTTGTCTTTTAAATTCTTTTATCTTCTATGGGAACCTAAATGGTCCTTTCAATTTATATCAGATGGAGTGTGTATTTAACCTCAGGAACTTCAGACTGCTCCCTGCTGAGTAGGGTGAATGAACCACAACTTTTCAAAATAAATAAAAATGATCCCAGTGTGCATAAGCCAGCCATTTCACACTTTCTGCTCTTTGAGGAATAACAGTAATTTTTTGGTATAAGAGGGCATGTAAATCTTACACAGTAATTCGTGATGGGCAGGTCAAGGAGTGGCTGAGGAATAAAATTTTATAACTGCTCAGGAATATTTTATTAGCTTCTCAATTTGTGGACTGAAGCAACTCAGATAAATCCTAAGTCATACTTACCCATCACAGACTTCCTTTATTATTGCAGACAGCGGTTTTTTCTGCAAAATAGCAAAAAAGGGAAACGCTGTTAGTTTCATTTCATCATTTTAAATAAAAAGAAGAAGAAAAAGAAGCCTAATAAAAAGATATCTACGTAAGGAGAATTTACATTTGCTATTCTTGGTTGTTGTCAATAAGTGGGTTATTTGTCTCCAAACATAATCTACTGCCATCCCCACCAAATATATTAATGATTTATTGCCCTTGTGGTCCTCTTTTTGATTCTTAATGTTATTAGTTGAACAAAATGTGCATCATATTTAACTTAGCTGCATTAAAATCGAGATTAAAACATAGGGGCAATGAAAGCCCCAAGGTCAAATGATAACCGGAATTCCTCGGGATTAATACAGCGGCCAGCAACCAGCAGTTTGGCTTTATGCAAACAAGCTTGGATTCATGGTATTTTTACGAGACCGTGTGGCAAAGGTAATATGAGGCATTGCAAAATTGTTCCTGCAAAGTGCATAGAATTCTCCTCCTCACCGTGGCCCTGACCAATGCCAATCAGACAGCAGCTTGAGCTGGACACACTTGAGTAATGAGACCGTGACACCATGCGCCACGGTGTCAACTGGCCGGCTGACTACAGCTGTGCTCTGGGCCGAATAGCCACAGCTGTGCTCCGCCTGCCTCCCGAGAGAAGGAATGCAGCAGAGAGACACACACACAGCTCAGCCAGGCATGTTGAAAGTTCTCTACTTTGGACACAAACAGACGCGGTCTGTCCCCTGGGGTGGGCGGCAGTGTGTCAACCAAAAGAACCAATCACAGACAAGAAACAAAGGGGGAAGAAAAATCAAAGAAATACAACACATGATCTTGGATTTTCAGATACAAACATACAAAAAGCTGTCTACATGTACACATGTTCTGCTTCTGTCCCTCTGAAGGGCAATGTGGTACGGGGAGGGGAATTCTGAATTAAGCAGAACCGCTTCAAATCCTACCTCTGTTCACCTGTCTGCCGTATAACCTACAATTTCCTGAAATTTGCTGAACCTCAACCAATTTATCTGTAAAATAGGCATAGGACCTATCCACTCCTCAGGGCTGCTATAAGAATTAAATTAAATGAGAATTAATACAAAGAGCAAAAAATTTCAAAAAAGGGTTAGGGTTCTGGCTTCTCACCCTCTTGTATCACAGAATAGATTCCATTTTCTCCTTACATCCTTGCCTTTGGACACGATGCTACTACCCTGTTGGTGAATTCTGAACACTGTTCACAGTCCTTTCTAAGGGCCTCCAGCCCCAGCTAAAAGCTGGGTCCACAGTATTCCCCCAATGAACTCCCACCCACCAGAGGTTTGGCCTCTATGAGTGAGTCCACCCCATGTGTTCAAAAGAACACCTGACTAAACTAAAAACCCAGTGGGAAGAAGGGACACCTAGAATCACTGAGGAGTGGAAAGGTGCTGGGGGTATCCCGACATCCTGAGCTGGTCTCCTTTAGAATAAGATGAGAAATGGTGATTGGGTTTTACAATGAACCTACATGTTACACAAGCCAAGGGCTTCGCAAGAACTTCTCCACTGTTTACGGCTTCAGCGGTGAGTTAAGGGGCAAAGGTGTTCTCACAACCAAATGACAAAGGAATTTTAGGAACAAAATTCTGCCTAGAAGAAGACTCTGCACTTCCAACTGCCAGAGCCTTCTCCGGGCTAATCGTATTTCACGAAGACCTGCCAGTCCTAGCCCCCTCCTCTTATGTTTTGCCCCTTCAAAACTGAAATCTAAATCACAGGGCTGGATGTCAGCCTTCAGTTACACTGCAATAACAGATCAGACCAAGAAAGCGTTGCCGCTGATGTAGGAGAAGGCACCTAAAACAACAGCTCCCAGAATTAGACTCCCTCATTGAGGTAGAGTTTTCATTCAGGTCTGATTCATAGATTCGGAACCAAATCTGAAAAGACAGCCGTCTATGGGGTACTTTCATATTTAGAATATTCTTCAGTTGGGGGGCACCTGGGTGGTTCAGTCGTTAAGCGTCTGCCTTCGGCTCAGGTCGTGATCCTAGGGTCCTGGGATCAAGCCCTGCATCGGGCTCCCTGCTCAGTGGGGAGTCTGCTTCTCCCTCTCCCACTCCCCCTGCTTGTGTTCCCTCTCTCTCTGTGTCTCTCTCTGTCACATAAATAAAATAAAATCTTTAAAAAAAAAAATTCTTCAGCTGGATATATGAAAGGAGTACAGACCACGGGGGAATTCAAGAGATTTAAAGAAGATTACAGAAAAGCTCTAAACTACCGATGTAAAAAGGAATCACATTTAACTGAACATAATGTACCCATCATGCAGCCTTCACCACTTAAAATGAATGTTATGTGAGGATGGGGGCTGGCTCCACGACCCGCGTCCCACACTGCCCCCTCCACTCTTCTTGCTATGCCAACGAAGCATTAGCCCTCACCACCCAAAGCTAGTTCCAACGGCCTTTCAGTCCTCGGCTCCCCCATTGCGCCCACCTTATTTAACACTATTACTACTACCTTCTTTTTGAGACCCTCTTTCCAGAGCTCCTATGGTATTTCCTTCAGTTTCTACCGTTTTAACCTATCAACCTTCAATAAAATCCAAGAAAGCCTTCATTGTTTCTCTTTTGCCTCTAACTAACTCCAAATTTCTGTTCTTGTCTCTTCCGCTTTTACCTAATCGGTCAGTTCCTCATTCACTTCAACTGCCCTGAGTGTATATATAGTTCTGGCCCCAAGTACTCGCTTGCAAATCTCTGATAGCTTGCTAGATATAGCATTTAACTCTCCTGCAGGCACCTTATTGAAGATACAAACAAAAACCATCATTCTCACCCATCAATCTGCCCCAACAACAGCCTGGTCCCAAAGGTCCCCCACCCCCACCATGACGTCTTGCTCTCGGGGCACCACTCCTGCTCGGGAGCATCATTAGCCTTCATTCCTTCACTCTCCAGGTCAGCTTGGTTACAAGCCCCTGTAGCATTTTCACATCATGACTTCTCACCTCCTAACTACTCTTCTAAAATACGGACATTCCTCATCCCAACTCCTGTTATCAGACAAACCTTCCCCCAATCCCGTCACCTCTAACTCTGCCTCCTGAGTCCCAGTGCCATTCCGGAGTGCTAACCACTTCTCACAAATTTTCAGTCAAATGCTTCACCAGCACATCAAAGTCTCATTCCTATCTTCCATGACTTCCGACACTCGACTTGCCTACTTTGGGCGGTTTTTTTTTCACATACATTTCTACAGAATTTTTCTTTGCCTTCCCCTTTTCTTTACCCTGTTTTGTGATACACAACTTTACACTGAGTCTCATCGTTATTTCCTCCACCACCTCTCTCCCCCTTATCCTTTCCAGACCTTACTATCATCTTTATTAAGAGTTCTCAGGACCCCAATCACCAGATCCTCACAAATATGTCTCCACATCCCCGGTTTTTTTCTCTCTAACCCCTACAAGGACCATAATCAGACAAAATCAGACTTTCCCTATAAACTTTGCTCAGGTCACTCTTCACTCCAATTTCCTCTACAGATCCCCAGTGACCATCACCTACACAGTATAAATCCTTTAATTAACTTGTCATCCGAGGCCTTCCACGATCTGGGCTCAAGCAGTCAAACTTTCTACTAATGCTGTACGTGTTGCCCATGCTTCTGGATTCTGATTCACCAAAAAAAAATCCCACTTCCATACTTTCACCTTACACCATTTGTTGAAATGCCCTTCTCCTTTCTGTTTCAGCTCTAACAATGAACTCTTACTACCACTAATATCCATGTCAAAGCCACCTCCTTCAAGCAGATGTCCATGATCTCCCCAAACACACAGAGATCACTCTCTATGTACTTAACACATTAAATAAATCACTCCTAAAAACTTTGTGTCTGTCTTATCTTCTTGTCCCTTGAGAACAAGATGTCTTAATTCATCTATGTTAATATCCAGCCTTCAGTACTAGTTACCACAGTATAAAGGGGCTAATAGAATCTAAAAGGAGACTCAGTACACTTCTATTCAACGGAAAATCCACACATTCATTTTCTGTTAAAAAAAAAAACAAAAAACAAGAAAGTGTTGAATATAAAGCAAACCATTCTGAAGACTAGCCTGGATTTATTAGCACACATCCCCCTTCCTACCATGTAAACTACCCTGGGTGGCTCTAAGCAGCTGCTGATTGTAAGTGGTGAGGCACGTGAAGGCTGTCACTACTCCCCACACAGACAATTCTAGAAGGAGTTATGTGATTCATGCCTCGGAAGAGCACTGAGCAAGCTAGCTGATGACGAGTGTAACTCAACCGGTGATAAAACAGATACCAGTCAAATGACTGTCACCATCCCTTAACAAGGTCACGCAGGTGAGCAGCATGACCATAAACAGGACTGAACAAGATACCTCAAGCCGAACATGCTAGTCTGGCGTCACCGCTTTTCTCACTTCCTATATACAGCCCTCAGTCTGACACGAGCTCTTTGCCTGACTTAAATTCCAAGCCAAACACCGGCTCTGCCCATGTTTTAGTTAACATTTGCTCAGGCGACAGGAGAGGTTTCTGCCTATCTGCCCAGATGGCGAAGACTTGAGAGTGGGGTGACATCTTTGATAGCTTTCAGTAGACCTGATGAACAATTCGTCTTTCACCTCATTGAGAGAAAAGGCTCGGGAGAAAAGAAAATGTGGTCTAAAAGGCTAAAAACTGATTCTTCTCTCCGTGATTTCAAAAAGCCTAAAGGAACTAGAAATAAAATTCTACACTCTGAATATACCTGGTTTTAGAATATTGAGACAAAATTATTTTAACTACCTGAGTATGTTTTCATAATTTAAAAAAAAATCATAACTGGGGCACCCGGCTGACTCCGTCGGTAGAACGTGTGACTCTTAATCTCAGGGTCATGAGTTTGAGCCCCACGTTGGGTGTGGAGCCTACTTAAAATTTAAAAAAAAAAAAAGTAACTAAATTCCTTAAGCTTTTTGTTTTGAAGGTCAAAACTATCTTCTTGGACT